CCTTTATCAACCTCATTCAACAACTATATGAAGATGCCACATGCCAAGTAATTCACAATGGGAAGCTCAGTGATGCTTTTGAAGTGAAAACAGGCAGGAGTGAAACAAGGTTGCCTACTATCCCCCATGATATTCTTGATTGTGGTCGACTGACTGGATCATGCAGTAAACAGTGGGGAGCGAGAAGAGGGGAATACGCTGGACTGCGGAAAAGAACCTAGAAGACTTGGATTTCGCCGATGACTTGTGCCTGATGTCACATAAACTTGAAAATGTATAGGCGAAAACTAACAAGTTGACAGAAGAGGCGAGGCGAGGCAGGGAAGCGAAGACGGGACTTCAAGTGAATATAGAGAAGACGGAAGTGATGAAGATACCTCAACACCACCAACAACAAACTCCAGTCAAAATCAATTGGGGAAACTCAGAGGAAGTAACCTCCTTCACCTACACCTATCTAGGAAGCACTGTTTCAACTACAGGCGGCACAGACGAGGATGTCTAAGTCAGAATTGGGAAAGCAAGACAGGCGTTCATTAACCTGAAACCAGTGTGGAGATCTTCTGCACTCAGCATGTGGAACAAGATACGGATTTTCAACACCAACGTCAAGTCAGTGCTCCTGTATGGTTCAGAGTCTTGGCGGGTTACAAAAGTGATTTCCAATAAACTACAGACATTCATCAATAACTGCTTAAGCTCGCTACTAAAGATCAGATGGCCGCAAAGGACAAGCAACAAGGTGCACTGGGAACGAAACAACCAAGAACCTTTCACCCAACAAATATGCAGAAGGAAGTGGAGATGGATTGGGCATACACTGAGAAGGCCGACTGGGGATATCTCGTGCCAGGCCAGTTGCTCGAGTGGAATCCCCATGGGAAGTGACGTGTTGGACGTCCGAGGTGAGGGTGACATGCAGGAGATCGTGGGAGGATGAAATGAGAGATTCCGTGCTGTCGTGCAACCAAGTTCAAGAGATCTCAGAGAAAAGACTTCACTGGGGCGTGCTACTGAAGACCTACGTTCCATTAGGAACCCAAGGGAATAATAATAAATAAAAAATATAATACGCAGATATTGAAGGCAACTGAACTGACTGAGTGTGAGTTAGACAGGATGCAGGGGAATATGGTGCAGGCAACTGATAGAATTTCACTTTCTCTAACTTTTCTTGTTCCTGTCATCTTTATTATTTTCGTCGATAATGTGTGATGACATGAGCGTAGGCGTTGCTACGTGCCTGAGATAACAGTCACTGGAATGCAATACTTGTATGTGTGAGCGTGTTCCTTTCGTGACCTCATCTCTTAATTCATTCAGTTGGTTGTGTGTTATCTGCCCGTGTGTGTGTGTGTGTGTGTGTGTGTGTGTGCGTTTGTGTGTCTCACACGTGAGAGGTAAACAATATTCGACTATATAAATCAGCCCACAACTTTTGACATACTCTCACCTTCACCATTGGTTGCCTTCCATTGTTGTCTTGTCTTCACTAGTAGTAGTGACGGCGTTGTGGAAGACACATGTGTCGTCGTGTATGTGTGTCTCACCAACGCACATTTGGTGAAGAAATTTTCCACAGGATTCATACAGTCACAATCAGTGAGTAAAGATTTCAATCAATACTAAAATGTGACTAACCGGAAATCAGACCAGTCGACCAGAGATTGAATTCCACATCATACTCACTTGAAATTGCTGACTGATGATTGAAGGTGGCTATCACATCACTCATTGAGTGATGGCTACGTTGTTTATGCTGATTGTGGAATGTTGAGAATGTTTTACTTTGTTAACATTGAAAGTGTATGAGTAAAGGGAAAGTAAACCATGGGTGCTTTGGCAGACTATGTAATCATGTCATGCAAAACGAGTAAATTTTGAGTGGAAATTCTACACGAAATCATCAGCTTTTCATTTCGGTAATATTTGGAGCAAAGTTACTGCCCATGATCACACCAACAGTTAACACATTTCAGTACTGACTATGCCTATTTACGCCGTTTTAATATCAATCCCGTGAACGTTGACTATGTGATGCTTTGCAACGTACGATGATGGTTGTCTGTCATCTGCGCTTATCGATGTTTGTGAATCCAGATGCTTTTTTCGTCATTCTGGTACATGCCCCTCCACCGTGGAGTTACAATCTGGATCAGTCCCCCTTGTGAACTTGTGTCCACACACACACACACACATGTAAATTGATGAATGCAGTGGGATGTGATGTAATGGTTCATTCAGTGTTGAGATATATGTTGTGACTTGTGTGTGGTGACTGTGTGTTGATGACACATTGACCATGTTCAAACCAGAACATATCGAGAGATGTTTCGCACACATTAACTCGGTAGTGGATGGAATCCAATTCACTCAAGAATAAGAAAATGAAGAAGAAGATTTACCAATGTTGAATAGCGAAATCATGAGAAGAGGAGATTGAAGCGTAGATGCCAGGGTTCATGGGGAACAAACACATTCGAATAGATACTTGCATTCCACATCATCTCACCTCATATGTATCAAGTCAGGATTGATGGAATGAGTAAGTGATCGAGATAGGAATTCGGAGAACTGAACTAAGTGGCTGAAACTCATCAGAGAGACACTACGTCTTAACGTGAACAGTTCGGAATTGATTACAAACTTTATAAGGACTGATAAGAGAAGGATGGTTGTCGTTGCAACATGCTTCACAGGGAATTCAAACAAATCCTCTTCAGTGTTGGCATATGAAGAAGGCAAACAGGAGATTTAACGCAGAATTCTTAACAATGCTGTGGTATGGGTGGGATTTCAACCCTCTAACACACTTACCTTGAGGGACACGCGAAATTATCAAAACTGAATGGGAAGAACAACCATGTCCGGTAAGCTTTACACTTGATAGCTGATTTTCATGATGGTATCTCGATATTCTTTCCTACTGCGAGCAAACAGTTTACACCTTTGCGTGTGAATGGACACCATACATGGGCAGGACCGATCGTTCGCTATTCATTAGAATTTTCTCCTTACGCTAACTAAACCTACCCTCGTAAGCCTTATCTTATCCTATTACCAAAGTTGTCTTTACATCTTATCATTCTCGCTTCATTACTTTCCTCATCATTAAATTCCTCGATGTCACAGTAGTCCTTCGCCCATTTCCAATTTTAAGATAAAATGCATCGTTACAAGTGAGGTCTGATCAGAATGTATAGCGCAAATACATCACAGAACTCAGATGATCTACATCCTCTTATGCCTATTGTCTTATCCAGACTCAGTCTATTTTATGTATGTCTGTGTCTGTGGTCAGTTGAATGTCTGTACATGTACCCATCTGTTCTTTTGTGTCGCACACTGTAGAATATAATCAAGTGTGTGGAGAATCCAACTGACGAGAACCAATGGAATTAAACGACTGAATTTATTGTTCATTTCCCAATTCGTTAACCGTCTTCAAAGCCATGCTACATACACAAATTGAAATACACAAGTTCACCTACCATTGGTCGTTCTTTCCATGTCACAATGATGTGAGGACACTTAGGTGGGCATGAGAGATACAAAAGTTGTAATCATCAATGAATGTGACAATGCAATCCGATACAAGGTGGAAGTGAGTGTTTAGGTGAGAATAGATTAGATTAGAATAGTTTAGACTTTCAGAATAAATTAGATTAGATTAGATTAGTTTAGATTATCTGTTCTACCACAAAGCCAACACTTCACAACCACATTAAAGATACACTTTCACTGTCACTGTCACCAAACTAAAACATTACTAACATTCCACAATCAAGATACACAACACAATCCTCATCCAATGAGCAAACTCCACGTTCAATTTGTCAGCAACACCAAGTGAAGTGAATATGATGTGGAATTCAGTCTGTGATCGACCGTTGTGTATTGTGAACAGCAGTCACCTCATTGCATTGATTCAATTCTCTACTCACACATTTCGATTGGATGACTACTGACTAATGAAATCCTGCACCAATCACAAGTGAGACGAAACAAAACACACCGACACGACACACATGCGTGTTTTCACATCACCATCACTGATAATAACCACAAAAATTAAACACAACAACCAATAGAAAGTGAGAGAAGGTCAAATAATCTCAGTAGAATACAGTCAAGAAACTGTGACCTGTCCAACTGACACTCAGTCAGTCAGTAAGTCAGTTCTCTTGTCAATCTATAAATCACAATTGCACAAGAATTAAAACAAATGAAAATGACGGAGAACACACTTCGGGAGGATGGTGTTGCAGGTGAGCAACTAAAGCCAAAAACCACAGTGACGAGATACACAAATGAGGAGGTGAATGCATTGACCGAACTCGTGACCAGATACCAAGATGTGTGAAGAGACAATCGTCAGTCGTCTGCACTCGTGCAGAAACACATGTGGATGCAATTCTCACAATATCTGGAGTCGAGTGGATGGCCGAGACGACACTGGATTCAACTTCGTCGAAAGGGTCAACGAATATTGAGGAGGTTGGAGTCACAAAGATGGGAGACTAGTGAACTGACAGAAAGGGTCTCGAATGCGACTGCGTGTGGTAGCACTGTCGATGGGAATGGCACTGGCATTGGGATTGGGAATGTGAATGTGAATGTGAATGGGAGTGAATTGTTAAGAGGAGGAGGAGGCGGAGGAGGAGGAGGAGGAGTGGGTGGTGGTGGTGGTGGTGGTGGAGGTGGAGGTGGAGGAGAGCGTGGCAGCTCGGTATGTTCATATCTCACAATCATATATCATATTATTCGTGTTGAATTAGGAACAGTCTGGTGGTGCATATAACTGTGATGTGCGTCAGCTGTATCCTCCATCGCTGACACCCTCACCCGTGGTTCGAATCGCACCTAAAATTCCCATCTCATCCACACCTTCTACAAACACCAACCACACAACTCTCACTTCCACATACACAACCGGTTCACAAATTCTCAATGCCTTCTCAACATCTCACACACCACAACAATTGACAACTGCATACAACATGCAGCAGAACAACACTCACTCTGGAGGCAATCAGTCGACCGGTGGTATGAGACCAGTGAATCCAGTCAGTCCGTTGATGGGTGTTGAGAATGACGCGAAGGTGAACAGTCTTCATGTTGATGATGTGGGAGTTGTGAATTCGTTGAATATGCGGTGTAGCGCATCTGTGAGTGGGACGATCGATTTGTCCATATCGATATCGAGTGATGAAGAGAGTGTTCCATCGATGTGTGCAAACAGAGATGATTTGTGTGCTGATGATGTGAATGAGCGTATTGCAAATGCACCTGGGCATCATGTGTAAGTGTAGTATTTTGTGTTAATTTCCATGCATAATTATCATGCTGTGCTGTGCTATGATATGCTATGCTATGCTATGCTATGCTATGCTATGCGTGTTGTCTTGTATCCGTGTCCTCGACATGAGACTGATTCGGGTGTTTATGAAATCTGAGTACTCCTTTCGCTATGATTGACTGATATTTTGATGTTTAATTGTTCCCCTCGGCTGTTGATGAAATTGGGTGAGCAAGCGGTTGATGATGTGAGTAAGATTCAGTGTGGAGTAGTAATGGAAGTAGTGTAAGTTGCAATGCGACTAAAGGGGAAGTGATAGATGAGAATGGTGAGAATGATAATAGCTTGATGATGGCTGAAATATTTGTGTGGACGAATGGTCGTGTCGTGTGATGCATGCATATGAGCTGAGCTGAGCTGAGCTGAGATGAGATGAGTTGAGATGAGATGAGATGAGTTGGCTTGACTGTGTAGGGAAATGATTCAGGATTGATTGTTTACGGTAGTGTTTGACATGGTGTTACAGGAAGTGTTGATGACAGTATGGAGTGATTGTTTAAGGAGTTCGTCGAGAGAGTGATTCACGTGTGTTGTTGTCATGAGTTATGTCTGATAGTAGTGATGCGAATTGTAGGATTTGTTTATCAATGGAAGTCTATGAAGCATGTTGTTAGGATTGTGATGATGTGATTTAGTTTGAAGTGGTTCTGTTGACAGCCGGTCATTGGATTATTGTACTGAGCAACATTGGACTGTTGCTGGTGATGGACTCACCAATTCTTGTTTGATGCTCCACTGCTGGCATGTTTTATGCTGACGCGGTATATGGTGGGTGGGGAGTCGAGTGAGAGCAGATGGGACTCGATTCATCTACGAGTTGACCAGTCGTATAATGCGGAATCATGTATATCGTGCTACCTTCCGAGGAGTCGATGGTGTTAGAAAGGCACTTCAATGGGCAATTCACAAGATTTTGATTTCATATTTTTGTGCATGTGATGTAGCAACGTGTAGATATGTGGTAGGTTGTTGACAGGAGAACTAACTACCTGATGCATTCTGTTGACGAACGTGTTGAGTGTGAATGGATTTTGTGTATTGTGCTGACTTGTTATCAGAGTTTTCGAGACTAGATATTCACTGGATTTAGCAGACTTCACTCACATTCTTCGACTTCACCTTTTCCTCTATATGACCGAATGATGATATGTTGCTTGTTTCAGATGTGATCGGAAGAGACGGTCATCTTCTGAAATACTGACCACCAAGTTGTTGAAATATTTGGATATGAAGATTGACATAGTGGAGATGAAGAAGCGATATTGGTGTGAGAAGCTGAATGCAATGTCGAAATCTTGACCATCTCATGTATATTGATTACAATTCTTCTCCGTCTTGACTATTCTGTTACTGTGTATAAATATCATCCATCCGTATGTTGGAGTGTACAATAAATTTGAGTGTGTAGTTCCACATTGATGTTTTATTGTGCCTCACTTCATCCTGGTTGCTTTTTGGTTGTAGTTCAAGTGACTGTAGGTGAGCAGGCCATTTATGACAATGTGTTAGTATTCGCTGATGGTAGGACCAAATACTTGATTGTCTGTTAGTGCGAAGTTGATGTTGTTTCCTTCAAGCTCGATTGGTTTTCATGAGATGTTGTCCTAATGCGAGATAGTGCAGGGCAGTGCGGTGCGGTGCGGTGCAGTGCAGTGCAGTTCAGTTCAGTGCAGTGCAGTGCAGTGCAGTGCAGTGCAGTGCAGTGTGCCGTTTGTAGGCGTGGGTGAGTTACGAAGGAATAGGTGTGTGTGTGTGTGTTTGATTTGTGTCGTATGGAATAAATGAGCATAGGAATATGTAACTAGTACAATGCGTCCTTATAATATCTAATGTTGGTGGTGTCGTTTTGTGGTCTATGCAAGATGTTTTATAGCCGAATTCCGCATGCTTACTTAGTACAGCTGACACGATGCGAGTTTCATTGTGTTCACATCCACATGGACAGCCACATCTGTCTGTTGTATGGCATGCAGGCATGTGTTTGTGGAGATTTTGAGTAATGAGATATGATAGTTAATGTGTGGGGAACTAGTCATCTTGAGTTCATTCAACGCATTTACATACACTCACTATCATAGACTGTTCTGTAGAGAGATGAAGTAGGAAATCTCAATTGAATAATAGACTAGATAAGACTATTGTAGAGGATTTTGTTTGCTCACGCTGACAGGATGCTTTCGAGAGAGTTTGGTGAGTGGTGTGGTGTGGTGTGGTGAGGCGTAGAGACTTGATGGGTGTGCCAGTTACACACTAGCCACCAGCCAGTGTATATATACACGCTTTGTATATTGGTTGATTTGTTGTTTGATTAACTTGATGGTGGGATGTTGGACGGCTCGACTGAGTGATTTGTTTTGGAACGGTGAAGGGACACCACATTCCTTGTGGTTGCCAATTCTCCTGATGAGTCTGATGTGTCCCAACAACTGCGAGATGTTGGTGAAGCAGGGACTTGTGCAGATGGACAGGCAGTATGTCACGCCAAAATGCATTCACCACTTTTGTTCTGTTCATGTAGATGGCATGATTTGTGGTCTTCCGTTCACGCCACGACTAGTTGTTGATGATCAATTCGATACGGTGACAGTCGATATTCGAATGTTTCAGTCATATCTGCATTACTGCTCATTTACTGATCATCGGATGTTTGTTTACTGGGACACATACACATACACACACACGCGCGCGCGCACACGGACAAGATGCACACAGTGACACACACGTGTGCGTTTCTATTGAATGTATGGTTGGAAATAGCAGGACATACAAGACTGGCAACATTCATCATGCACAATTTCTCATGCAGGTCAGCGTGTTGACCAGTACCAGTAGAGTAGTTTGAACAGAATGATCGATAGTCGTCAGCTACGTTCTTTCCTTGACGAATGTCATACGGATTTGTAATGTGTGCACAATGTAGATGACTGTGTTAAATAAACCTCAGTGGATTGGTCGTTTGCATTCATTGTATGACAGTCGAACGTGTTAGGGAAGCATGGGGCACGGGGTGTGAGAATCGCCATGAATACCAACTGAGAATTGTAGTCGAATATGCATATGCAAACTGGTTCAGTATACTCTCAAAATGATTTAACCATTGACGAAGCTACTCATGAAGGTGTCTGTTTTTTCATTTGACTCATGAATATTGACTGAGAACTGTATACGCTTGAGTATTTTGCATTGAGCAAATGAACTACATTCAGAACAACAATGTTGTCTGTGAGCAGTTTGAGGGAGAGAGAGATGCTTGTAAATGTTATTATGGTTGAGTGTGCTATGTTAATGATGAGCAGCACATGCTTCACATGCACTCGCGCTTATAATACATGGTGCACGAGTTTCTGACAAACTGCCCGTTCTCCAATTCTCCGAATTTCTGACTGTACTAAACCCACATAACACTCTCTCCTCAATCGACTCATCACTCGTATCCGTCGGAATGATTATTAAGTGTCAAAGTCTAGTTTGGAGGGTTAACGCAGTTGTGATTTGACGGTATGGAACTGCGTGACTGCAGCACATTGGACGGTGTGGAAGAATCACCATGAACTTCTTGTTTGTAATGGAATTACGTGAAAATCCTTCACATTCTCGTCTTCAGAAAATGAACATATTTGCAAAGGAAATCATAGTGGTGGTTATCGGTCAACAGTATTCATCAGTTGGATTGCATTTCATTGTGACAGTGAATAACTCGACTTTGAGTGAATGCTTACAGCAACAAAACCGAATGTGTAAGCACTACACTATTGTGTCTGGATCAGAGTTGAGTGCGATGATAGTGTTGTCGGCGTCATCGACTGATGGTGTGTTGGAGTGGAGAAGTGAACGTGGTTATGCCTTTGAAGTGATCGCCTAGCTCGTCTGAATCCGTGTCAATTTCAGATGCTCCACTGAAGCGGAAAACGTCTTATTCGCCCTCCATTCGACTGATAACGACGCCATCTGCAACAGACACAATAAGTAGACAACACCGATTGTAGATGTAGCACAAAATGCCTACTCAACAGGAAACAACAAAATTCATCCTTTCGAATTCTTCTGATTCAAATAGTGGTTGGTGAAAGTATTTACAGGTTGAACAGTTTGTTCACTCAATCAACATACACCAATTGACAGTTAGAGCCTAGTGTCAGAAGTTCGAGTGAGTAGCTTTGATATAACCAAGAGTATTAAAATATATTGGGTAATGAGTGAACAAACACAGATAGCTCTGATAATCGAGTCTATGAACATCTGGCTGCCATCCAACTCTCCTCTCCAAATTACACCTTACCCATGTCAACACCATCTATCCCATTCACATTTTCACCTAGTGCAATCCGATCAACCAATCAACATCAATCCACATCGACTCGTGTCATGTCGACGAATAAATTGACATTGATTAGTACAACGAGACTGCAACGAATATTCATCGTGAGGATAATTTCACTTGTCTCGCGTCGTCCACTTGTGTGAGTGAGCCAGTTGAAGGAACACGAGACACCTAATTCTGCACATGTTAACCATCAGATCACCAATACCTACCTGCTTCAATACAACACCATATTCCCGATGTGTTCAATTGTTCGAATATTCCAGCAGTTATGATATGCAGATGTTGAAGGCAACTGAACTGACTGAGTGTGAGTTAGACGGGATGCATGGGAATATGGTGCAGGCAACTGATAGAATTTCACTTTCTCTAACTTTTCTTGTTCCTGTCATCTTTATTATTTTCGTCGATAATGTGTGATGACATGAGCGTAGGCGTTGCTACGTGCCTGAGATAACAGTCACTGGAATGCAATACTTGTATGTGTGAGCGTGTTCCTTTCGTGACCTCATCTCTTAATTCATTCAGTTGGTTGTGTGTTATCTGCCCGTGTGTGTGTGTGTGTGTGTGTGTGTGTGTGCGTTTGTGTGTCTCACACGTGAGAGGTAAACAATATTCGACTATATAAATCAGCCCACAACTTTTGACATACTCTCACCTTCACCATTGGTTGCCTTCCATTGTTGTCTTGTCTTCACTAGTAGTAGTGACGGCGTTGTGGAAGACACATGTGTCGTCGTGTATGTGTGTCTCACCAACGCACATTTGGTGAAGAAATTTTCCACAGGATTCATACAGTCACAATCAGTGAGTAAAGATTTCAATCAATACTAAAATGTGACTAACCGGAAATCAGACCAGTCGACCAGAGATTGAATTCCACATCATACTCACTTGAAATTGCTGACTGATGATTGAAGGTGGCTATCACATCACTCATTGAGTGATGGCTACGTTGTTTATGCTGATTGTGGAATGTTGAGAATGTTTTACTTTGTTAACATTGAAAGTGTATGAGTAAAGGGAAAGTAAACCATGGGTGCTTTGGCAGACTATGTAATCATGTCATGCAAAACGAGTAAATTTTGAGTGGAAATTCTACACGAAATCATCAGCTTTTCATTTCGGTAATATTTGGAGCAAAGTTACTGCCCATGATCACACCAACAGTTAACACATTTCAGTACTGACTATGCCTATTTACGCCGTTTTAATATCAATCCCGTGAACGTTGACTATGTGATGCTTTGCAACGTACGATGATGGTTGTCTGTCATCTGCGCTTATCGATGTTTGTGAATCCAGATGCTTTTTTCGTCATTCTGGTACATGCCCCTCCACCGTGGAGTTACAATCTGGATCAGTCCCCCTTGTGAACTTGTGTCCACACACACACACACACATGTAAATTGATGAATGCAGTGGGATGTGATGTAATGGTTCATTCAGTGTTGAGATATATGTTGTGACTTGTGTGTGGTGACTGTGTGTTGATGACACATTGACCATGTTCAAACCAGAACATATCGAGAGATGTTTCGCACACATTAACTCGGTAGTGGATGGAATCCAATTCACTCAAGAATAAGAAAATGAAGAAGAAGATTTACCAATGTTGAATAGCGAAATCATGAGAAGAGGAGATTGAAGCGTAGATGCCAGGGTTCATGGGGAACAAACACATTCGAATAGATACTTGCATTCCACATCATCTCACCTCATATGTATCAAGTCAGGATTGATGGAATGAGTAAGTGATCGAGATAGGAATTCGGAGAACTGAACTAAGTGGCTGAAACTCATCAGAGAGACACTACGTCTTAACGTGAACAGTTCGGAATTGATTACAAACTTTATAAGGACTGATAAGAGAAGGATGGTTGTCGTTGCAACATGCTTCACAGGGAATTCAAACAAATCCTCTTCAGTGTTGGCATATGAAGAAGGCAAACAGGAGATTTAACGCAGAATTCTTAAC